GAGTGCAAAAAGAAGATTTGTTGGTTTGTAATATAGGGTGGGGGGGAGGGGACATGGGTGAAAGATTATAGTGTCCATCTCAGACTCATCAGCTACAGAGTTCAAATGTCAGACTTTTTTTTTTTTTTTAACTAGATGCATTTAATATTTAATCTCACCATCTCCATCTGATTTCTTATGCAGTCAGATCAAAAATGCATAGCCTTTTCAGATAAGGTCGATAAACCAGGAGATCCTATTCTATGTTATGAATGAATTCCTCCACAGCTGTAAATTTTACATGGTGTATCATGTCACTGCATATTTCTCCATTTTCCTTTCTACTGTCCATCTCCAAGTTTCCTAAAATTGTGCTGTTGTATAATTTGAGCTTAAGTCCCTTAGTCCATATATTTAAGCATGGCAAATGCTTGATTTCCTCTGTTATTCTCAGTGTTGCATCATCCTAGCCATCTGACCTTCAGAACAGACACAGAAACTGGCTGCAGTAATGAAGTATGGGTTGATGTTTTCCATATAGGGGTGAAAAAGGTGGGGGGGGGGGGGGGGGGGGGGAGAATAGACCAACTGACCCTTAACAAACATGTCATTAAAGGCGATTCATTGGGAGATTGCTGAAATCTCGGGACACCCCCATAAGTGCTCCGTTCCCATCTTCAGCAGCAAGCGAAGAGTTCTAATTTTGATGGCACCAGTAACTGTCTGATTGTGTGTCCGTCTCACCTTTGCCCTGAGTTTTGAGCACTGGCCAGATCTCCTTGTAACTTGTAGCGCCATTCTCCCCAGACCGTAATGATCTAATTGTGCCTCCACACTGTTCATCTAGCTTGTCATGCATCACGTTACCGCCAAACGGTGCAGAACCGGCCAGTCTAACTGCCTACTAGTTTCTCAACACACCGACATGACCTAGAGAAAATATCCAAAGGATGCTAACTACCCGGGACCTCTGAAGTAATGCTTGCCACTCTGCACGGAGCATGCCTTCTCCACCTTTCTCAACATGCTCTGTGAGTCAGTTACAATCACGACATGTGTGTACAGCTGCTTCTCAAGCCAGCCGAAGGCAGCAGTGAGTGCCTCCACCTCCATTCTCAAACTAGACGTTGTGTTATCATGTGCCAAAACTTGCTGCACCAAGTTTTTGCACTGAACCCCTATGCACTTCGTCTGCTCCTCCGCACAGAGCCATCTGTATAGATAGATAATCATATAACCTGTCTTGAATTGTCATAAATTATTTGTTGAACTTCTGATTCTGCAGCACCAGCTGGCCAGTCCCTGCACTCATGACTCAGAGTGATAAGAATCTACACAAATCTACACATTTCAGGATCCTCGCCGGTGCTATGGAGTTCGTACACTGTGCTAAGATTCTTCGGACTCAGGCTTGAGAGAGAAGAAGAACGGAGCACGTATGGCTTACTACCCTTGTGCCATGATGTTGATCCATCGTCTACGCTTGAAGATGCATGACGGGACATATATCATCACGCTGTACGACTAGACTAGCAGATAGTATTGAATCTCTTAATGATTGCAGGAACTGCCCGGCTAGCTATGTTTGATTAAACCAGCTGCGTGGCGATGGGTGACAAACTCCTTGTGGTCCGTGTACACGCTGGGGGGGGGGGGGGGGGGGGGGGGGGGGGGGGGGGGGGGGGGGGGGGGGGGGCAGAAAAGGGGGGGGTTTCGCAGGGGGGGGGGGGGGGGGGGGGGGGGGGGGGGGGGGGGGGTATCTATCATGAAATCAATTTCGCAGATTTACGGTATCTATCATGAAATCAAGGCCGAATCTATCCATTCTTTTACCCCACCAGGACATCACACAAGCGATAAACACCCGATGACACAAAGTGTCACCATGTGGGTGAAGATCATGGTGGAGAGGTTCCAGAAAACGCATTCAGCCATAAGACCATATTTATGGCCGGGCTATATTGCGGCCCCTGGCAAGAGCCAGAGTAGGGCTTCACAAAACGAAAAATTGCATCCCTAAAATGGATGACGAGATATATGTATCAAGGCCGAAGGGTTGCGATATCCATAGTACTGAGTCAAAGTGTTAACAACTTATGGTTTCTGGATATATACCCAAGCATCACTATGGCACTAAAACGACAACTGATAAATTGCTGTTTATACCAACCCTCTGCTACCAATGCCAAACCTGGTCCCTAACAAGAGCACAGGAGAAAAAGATCACGACGTGCGAAATGAGATGCTTACGTAAGGCTGCCAATGTCACAAGGAGAGACAGAGTTCGAAACGAGAACATTAGAGCAATTGTAGGAACCACACCATGCCTGCAATACATAAAGAAGCAACAAATAGAGTGGTTTGGCCACTTGATGCGAATGCAAACCGACCAACTGCCTCTACGAGCATACAACGAACAGCACTACTGCCCTAGAGCAAGAGACAGACCGAGAGTACGATGGATAGACAATATATCAGAGATCCTGAAGCAACACGGACTAACAACAACACGTGCAACACACCTGGCCCAGGATAGAAAACTGCGACTCCCCACTACGCTGTGAGGCAATTGTGGACAAGACAAGACAAGACAAGGCAAGGCAAGACAAGACAAGACAAGACAAGACAAGACAAGACAATGAGCTAAGAGTGAAGAACATCGGCGTCGTTTCTGAGGTTGAGATATAACGGAGTCGTTATAACCAACTTCACGGGAACAGTCAGTAGAAGTACATTAGAGTGGCTGCTGCATCAGAGGACTGGGCACGTATGTGAATGTTCAATTTACAGCGACGTCAATTTCAACAACATTCTGAGCATGAAAAGGGCAAAACAGGCGTTGCGAGTCCGACTCGTGAGCCAGCATACCGCGATCGAAACCCACTGCAGGCTGCGTGGATTTTTGTCGTGGTATGGGACGTCGCAGGTCGACCCAGCCTAAAATGGGTACCAGGATGGGATGTCCTGGGAAAGTAAAGACAGCCGGCGTAATGCTGACCATATTACCCACAGAGTGCTGATGGTCTGTAAAAATATGGGACGCTCTGCCCATATGCCCGATGCGCCGAAAGGCGTGAAAAGGGATCTTTACTTTACTTCCTTAAATAGTTATAAAGTAACATTTACCTTTTTTTAAAAAGGATTCTTAGATTTATAGGATATAATATCTTTAGATAAACTACACTGTTATTCACGATGTAAACACCCACAAGCCCACACATACAATACATACACACATAATACTCTCACATACACACACACATCACGTGCGCGTATATGGTATAGTTGTTTACAAATTACAATAGTAAAACGATGCAGACATCGCAATTTGAATCATCATCATCATCAATTGCCTTGCCAACTGGTGTGGGCAATCATTCCTCTCTACAATCTGCGATCTTCCATCAGCGTGTTTCAGTTCGTGCGTTGACACCCCTTCATGTCAAGACAAAAGGCTGTCGAAAATCTTCTCGCGTTGTCTCTCCCCCCCCCCCCCCCCGCATACATTTCCAATAGTTACATGTTCCAGTTTCCTTCTGACTGTCTTTCTGGTGTTTGTGATAAGTTGTCTTATAGATCTCGCCGCTTTCGAAACATCTGGGTTCCAGAGAATTCTAAGGATTCCTCTGTAAAACCACATCTCCGAAGCCTCAAAACATTGTTTGGCTTGTGTATTAATTGTCCAGGATTCTTGATTAGATAAATGTTTTTCTGATCTCCAGCGACATGGATTTATTCCATAAAATGTTCTTATTTGATAAAATACAGCTTTAGCCTCTCATGTTCTGTTCTTTACCTCTCTGACGCAACTGCCTTCGGATGTTATGGTTGTGCCTAGATACTTAAACGTTTGTACTTGTCATAAAAAGCCGCTGTCTTCTATTACACATTTACGCGCTATTCTTTTCTTTGACGTTACCATTACGTCTTCTAGTTATTCAAACTGAGGTTCATTCTATTACTTTCGACCACTACCGTATATGTTATCCATCGCTATAGTTCTTTCTGACTTGTCACTTTCAAGACGGTGTCATCCGCATAATGTAGGTTGTTTATGTTATGACCACCGCCAAAAATTCCTGGCATATCCATGACAGATCTCATTAAATATTCACTGTCAGATGAAAACAAATTAGGTGAAAGTACACGTACTTGTCTTACGCCCCTCTTTATACTATGAGATGTCCCAAAATGGAGAAAAGTTATCAGTAACTTGTATTCGTCCCCTAACGTCTTTGTGAGTGAGTTAATCAAGTAACAGAAAGTATTGTTGTGAGTGAGTGACGTTCAACCCCACCAGGACCGCACAACGAGCGATTTACACCAGTGACACAAAGTGCCAACATTCAGGTGAGAATTCCCCCAGGCACAAGTCCCAGAAATTCCGTTCAGCCGTTAGGTTATATTAGTGCCTCCGACAACTGCCGGGGTGGGGCTTTAAAACAACAAAAAACTGCGTCCTGTATTGGGACGGAGTTTACGCCTTTATCCATTTACTACGACATTTACAGTTTTTTGGGGGGGGTCATTTGCGGAAAAGTGTATCGACTGTATGGTGAGAATGTGCGCGTGTGCATGCACACCCACGCATGTTTGAAAGACAGCGCTTATACAAATGATGTATTTAGATTACAGCATTGGAGTTTCACGGATTTCTACATTTAGCCACAATTGAATCCATTAGTTGGCAACTCTTGTAGCTAGGTATATTCCATGTAAGTCGGCTGCTCTACAGAGTGACAATTTAAATCTGAGATAACTGGCTTTTCTCTGTTAGCAGATTTCAAACTGCATTCATGTACAAACTGATAGATTTGAACTAAATTTGCTTTTAAAAAACCCCCCATCAAACTGTGGATATCCCCCCCCCCCCCCAACCACCAGCAAATGAATTATTTGGCAACCCTGGTAGCTAGGTATATATAAGGTGTATGTAGATCGGCTGCTAGACATATGTTACCGGCTGTTGGGTGAAAATCGAAAGTTGAGACAATCGGCGTTTATCTAGCAGAAGATTTTAAATGGCATCACTCCAAGAGGTGAGATATCTTCTATCATTGCACAAAGCAGATTACTAAACTTCATTAATTATCTACAGACAGCCTGTGATTAATTATTAATATTATAATTTGTTATATATCCCAGTTTATATACAATACATATATACTAGCGTTCTAGATTCCCACAACTGTCACCCACAATCAGTGCAGCTTTCGTGGAAAAATGTCTAACATAGAAATGGCGTGAGCAAAATCAAACACTGTATATTGCTTTTATTGATCTTAACCAAGGCATTCGATTTAGTTAGTCGTCAAGGTTTGTTCAAGACGCTGGAAAAGTTTATGTGTCCACCTACTGTATTGAGACTCATTGAGCTGTTCTACACTAGCGTTTCTCAACCTGTGGGTCGCGATCCTTTTTTTTGTGTTGGTCGAACTACCCTTTCGCATGGGTCGCCAAAGACCATCGGAAAACAAATATTCACTGAAGTTATAAAGGAAAATAATTGTTTGTGGATCGCCACAACATGAGGGAACTGTATTAAAGGGTCGCTACAACATGAGGGAACTGTATTAAAGGGTCGCTACAACATGAGGGAACTGTATTAAAGGGTCGCTAAAATTTGAGGGAACTGTATTAAAGGGTCGCTACAATTTGAGGGAACTGTATTAAAGGGTCGCTACAACATGAGGGAACTGTATTAAAGGGTCGCTACAACATGAGGGAACTGTATTAAAGGGTCGCTACAACATGAGGGAACTGTATTAAAGGGTCGCTACAATTTGAGGGAACTGTATTAAAGGGTCGCTACAACATGAGGGAACTGTATTAAAGGGTCGCTACAACATGAGGGAACTGTTTTAAAGGGTCGCCACAACATGAGGGAACTGTATTAAAGGGTCGCTACAACATGAGGGAACTGTATTAAAGGGTCGCTACAATTTGAGGGAACTGTATTAAAGGGTCGCTACAACATGAGGGAACTGTATTAAAGGGTCGCTACAACATGAGGGAACTGTTTTAAAGGGTCGCCACAACATGAGGGAACTGTATTAAAGGGTCGCTACAACATGAGGGAACTGTTTTAAAGGGTCGCCACAACATGAGGGAACTGTATTAAAGGGTCGCTACAACATGAGGGAACTGTATTAAAGGGTCGCTACAATTTGAGGGAACTGTATTAAAGGGTCGCTACAACATGAGGGAACTGTATTAAAGGGTCGCTACAACATGAGGGAACTGTTTTAAAGGGTCGCCACAACATGAGGGAACTGTATTAAAGGGTCGCCACAACATGAGGGAACTGTATTAAAGGGTCGCTACAACATGAGGGAACTGTATTAAAGGGTCGCTACAACATGAGGGAACTGTATTAAAGGGTCGCTACAATTTGAGGGAACTGTATTAAAGGGTCGCTACAACATGAGGGAACTGTATTAAAGGGTCGCTACAACATGAGGGAACTGTATTAAAGGGTCGCTACAACATGAGGGAACTGTTTTAAAGGGTCGCCACAACATGAGGGAACTGTATTAAAGGGTCGCCACAACATGAGGGAACTGTATTAAAGGGTCGCTACAACATGAGGGAACTGTATTAAAGGGTCGCTACAACATGAGGGAACTGTATTAAAGGGTCGCTACAATTTGAGGGAACTGTATTAAAGGGTCGCTACAACATGAGGGAACTGTATTAAAGGGTCGCTACAACATGAGGGAACTGTATTAAAGGGTCGCTACAACATGAGGGAACTGTATTAAAGGGTCGCTACAACATGAGGGAACTGTATTAAAGAGTTGCGGCATTAGAAAGGTTGAGAGCCACTGTTCCACACAGACATGAGAGAGACAACCAGCCTTAAGGTGTAGGCCTATCCATCATTGGAAGATTTTGCAGTCAAGACAGGAGTAAAGCAGTGTTGTTTACTACCCTCTTTGAAATATACTTCTGATTCCTTTAGAAATATGCATTTCAAGATCAGGAGGTTGCCTTTATTTATAATGCTCAGAGGCTGAAAACTATGACGAGAATTAGGCAGGGATGCCAGATCCCTAGGAGTTTAGCCTTAGGTTTCGTGAGGCACCTTGCGCAACTATCTGCCATCACTGAAGCCTGTTAGAAGTAAAACAAATTAGAGGAAGATTATTTTGAAAAGTGCAAATGACAGACAAGCAGTCTTTATTGATGGTGAAGAGCTGGAGACAGTTGACTATTTTACCTATCTGGTATCTTAGCCAATAACACACTATCACTGCACCAAGAAATCAACGTCAGGATAGGTAAGGCCCTAAAAACAAAGAGCAGATCAACAAAAAGAGTTTGCGAGAATGGAAAACTCGTGATTAAAACAAAACTCTTGTTTATTAAACATGTATTCCCTCCACTGTTCTTTACGACTGTGAAACTTGGTCAATTTATTTAGCAGAGAAATGGCTAAATAGCTTTCATATGTAGTGCTACGATGAATACTCAGCATAAATATTTTATCCTTTTTAGGACGAAATTTTTTGTTATTTGAAGCCCCACCCTGGCTTTTGCCGGGGGCCGCAATATAGGCAGGCCATGAATATGGCCAATTGTCTGAACGCGGTTTCTGGGACCTCTCCACAGCGACCCTCATCCACATGGTGGCACTTTGTGTCATCGGGTGTTTATAGCTTGTGTGATGTCCTGGTGGGGTAGAAAGTCAGTCAGTCAGTCACTCAGCATTAAGTGGCAAGACACAATTACAAATACTGAGGTATTAGAACAAGCTAACACCTCAGTAGTTTTTCTCAATGCTTAGTATTCAAAGACTCTAATATCCAAGACACATTGTGAAGGTTGGAGAATGGTAGAATAACTGAGGACATCCTCTACAGTGAATTACAGAGGAGTAGAGGATATCGATGCTAGTCTCTTCTATGACATACAACTGTGTGCAAGCAGGACATAAATAATAAAGGTACTGAGGAGGAATTCAGGGGAACAAGATGCCATGGAACATGTCACATGGAAGGGAAAAATCAGGAAAGGAATAGGAATAAAGGGCAAAATGACAGTAGATAAGTTAAGAAGTGAGCATCTGATGTTGTTGTTGTTTGTGTTCACCAGCTGTAAACCCTGGCGGAAAGACCTGGTTGTTTGTCCATTTCTGGACTTTAACTTTGTTCCAGAACCTGAGTTTTGCATGTGCATCTGTTTTTCAGATCTTGCTTATTTGTATGCAGGCTGTTGGTTTCTTGCCTCTCAGGCAGATGCACTTTGACACTGAAGGAAGCCTCCAATTGGTCAATTCTTAAGACATGCATTTTGGGAAGGCAGTGGGTCTATTCTTGTTTTCCCCACAATGGGACCCCGGATCCTACAAGGGGATGAGCATCTGATAAGAAGCGTGTTGAACACATGCAGTGGCAACAGTGGTTCTTAAATCCATGCTATAATGGTAGAAAACATTTCTTAATTAGAGCTAGTCTTGCTAGCCACACTTGCCGTTGCTGTGGGCTTAATTTCCATGCCACCCTTTTCTACAGTATAACCCTATCGACTGGACAGGGGTCTGCATGGTGAAGTGGTCAAGTCATTCACCTCACACTTTGAAGGTCATGTCTTCATTCTACATTTGCATTGTTTGGTTCACAAGTGCAATTTTTATGTTTTTATATAAATCAATCGGGATCATCACAGGAGCTACGGAGTTCATGCTTTGTGTGACTCGCAGCAGGTGGCTAGCCATTCTGCAATAAAAGACCAAGCCATATAGGATAAAACCCAGCGCAATGAAGTCAGTCCTTTTGACTTCAACCTTTTTATCTAAGTCAATCCTGTTGCCTTTAACCATTTTAACCTACCACCCAGAAAGACACCAACATATTCTAATTATACTTGCTTTTTTTTTGTTAAGGTTAAATTTTTATTTCTGCTCATGAAACAGAGTCTGTTCTATTGCCAGTATTCAATCATCCCTACTGTAGTGCGAGCGCAGATACCTAGTGGGCATAACCCCCCTCTTCCTGCTCGGTTATTATTTAAAATCCCTCTATCTTCATTGCCAGGATTAACACTACATTACCAGAATGGTCTTCAAAAATGAACTTTATTACATGAACAGCACCTTTGCGCCTCAAAAATTCAGTCAAGAAAATCAGAGTATCACAAATCCAAAATCTTCAAATTTTTATTCTTTTTATTTGCATTTTCTCTTTTTAACAATTATTCAACCAAAAGATTTACATGCAAAAATAATTATGATTTAACCTCTTATATTTCTTTTATGTAAGGGTCTTTAAAACTACTCCAAAGAGTATCCCTCAAGTTCCGAGTTAAGTCTCTAGCCCACTAAGTCTAACTTAGCTTGGCCTGCCCTCCTTCTGGTTTGAGAGGTCCAGTCACTCGCTTATATAGGTACCATTAGCTTGCTTCCAGAATCTTCCAGCAATTTGTTTTGCAAACCGCTATTACGTTTCTAAAATACAAGTTCATCAGAAACATTCAGAAAATGTTGTCAACAGGGTATTTTTATGTACTAGAAGGCAGGGTCACGTTAGGATTCTAGATAAATTGTTGGAAGTTTCGAGAAGCTCAGGCAAGGACACCATGACATTATTGGGAAGTAGCCCTTTTAGCACTGCACTGTTTTGCTATCACAGAGTTTTGTGGTAAGGTTCTAGAAACAAAGGTGAAGGCCAGGATGAACCTTTTTTCTCTAGTCTTTTCAATTAAGCACAATTAGTGCAGTCTCCCTGTTACACTCTTTTGCACATTTACAATTTTGTGATGACTTGATGTAAAGAAACAATGTTTTATCGTCATTAGCAATTTAACACTGCAGCAGACCTGGTGAAAAAGCTGGCCAAAAAACCTACAGATGATGAAAAATTGTCAGTGTATGGTTTGTTCAAGCAAGTCACAGTTGGAGACTGCAATATAGGCAAGCTAAATGTTATCCATGTTCTCTAATGTAATTACCTTTCAACAATAACATGGTTTGACAGTAACCCTGCATACCATTTGCCTTAATTTACATTATTCTTGTCCTTGGCTGTTAACTAACAGAACCTTTAGTCGTTAACTAGAAGAAATTTGAGTTATTAATTAGGAAAACATTTAATTGTTAAATGTCAAAGTATTTAGATTTTAATTAGCGAAATCTTTAGTTACCTAGAGAAACATTTAGTTAGTAACTTGCAAACCATTTGGATTTTAGCTTGTAAACCGTTTCATTATTAGCTAAGACAACTATTTGGTTGTTGCAAGCAAAACTATTAGTTGTTAGCTAGGAATAATTTGGCTATAAATTAGCAAGACATTTAGTTATCAAGTAGTAAATCGGTTAGCAACCATCACATTTAAAGGCTTCTTTTGCAGAGCAGACTCATTTTACTGATACTGGTTCCAAAATAATTACTGCTAATCAGTTCTATAAATTACACTAATGTAAATCTATATGAGGCTGAGAGAGAGAGAGAGAGAGAAAGAGAGAGAGAGAGAGACATAGGCAGAGAGAGAGTAAGTAAAGTAAAGTGAAGGACCCTTTTCCACGCCTATAAAGCATATAGGGCTAGACCTATATTTTTATAGACCAATCGGCACAAAATGGGTGATGTGGTCAGCGTAATGCCGGCTGCATCTACTTCCCAGGACTGCACCCGGTACCCACTCAAGGCTGGGTCAACCTGGGAGCCAAGGTCATTTTTAAAAAAAAGTCAAAAAGAGCAAACCCATGACCTTCTGATCCGCTGCGAGCGTCTAGCCGCTTCGCCGCGGGGACTCCTGAGAGAGAGCGAAAGGGGTTTTCAGCCATTCCCAGTGTGGGTTCTGGGGCCCTATCTCGGATGGGTTGGAGGGAGGGGGGAGAGGAGAGAACAAACCCAATGCTCCTTTATAGGCACGTCAAAATGATGACAGATAAGGACTTGCTGAAATCAGGTCAAAAGGTGCAGATATCACAGCCTAGCTCTTCTAAGAGCAAATGAAGAAGAGATAGCAGTTAGCCAGTCTCACAGCAATCCTTCTTACTTGTTTCTCACAGTATGACAGTTATTTACAGGCTAGATGGGCCTCGGTTTGGTCATCTGTTACAGTTATTTTACAGGCCAGAAGGGTCTTGGTTTTAGTCATCTATTAGTTATTTTACAGGCCAGAATGGCCTCGGTTTAGTCACCTGTTAAGTGTTCCTCAGCTTTTTTAAACTTATGGCCCATCAAAACAGGGCACTGTTTTGTGGACCACCTGACAGCTAACCAGGGACAGTATAATTGTTGTAACCATCAGGTGCCCTAATATAACTGTCTTATTAGTTTAATAGGGTTTCCGGGATTTGTAGATTCTCATAACTAAGGTCATAATCCTACATACTACAAACCTGCAGGGGGAAAAAACTACCTACCCTATCCCCTTACACGATGAGGTAGACATATTTTGGTGGCCAACCTGAACTTTTATGCAGCCCACCAGTAGGTCTTGACCCACGGGTTGAAGAACACTGATCTATTACAGTATTACAGTTATTTACAGGCCAGATTGTCTCAGTTTAGTCTCTCTTTCTGTATTACAGTTATCTGCATTCATGATGGTCCTCAGTAACACAGTCATATTCACTCATACATGCAGTCATATCTAGTTGCAGTTTCTCCTGCCCTGTAAACATTCATGCCTGCTGTAGACATCTGAGGCCAGTGAGCAATATCGTGTGGCTTAAGACTTTTTGGAGAAGATCAACATTATAGATTTTTAGGTGATTTTTGGAAAACTATATATGAATCTGACTGTGGCTTAGGCGTTGTGAATGTGCTTCATAATTACAACATATCAGGTTCAATTTCAGCTGCAAGCGATCTGGCAGCAGACCACCTTGTCTTGATTTTGACAGAGGTATCGAGATCTGACCATTCAGAAAGCAATGACAAACTACCAAATGCAAAGTAAAACCAAAACAGCCAACAAAAAGATGGAGTTGGTTCTGCAACTTCCTGTTAAGGATAAGCAGCTAACTAAAATATGAAACAGAATACTTGTTTTCAGCTAAATATTCTTGCTTTCTATCTTTTACATGACTTGGGTCGAAGCATTTCTTTTTATGTCTGTTTTTTTTGTTTGTTTCCCAGTAACATTTACTTATTTTTGACATCTGCTAGGTTAATAACATTTCTGTTTTCGCTATTTTTGTTTTGTCTACCTGCGCCTGTCATTGATTTCCGAATGCTTTTACATTTTGTTACATGATAATCCCTACAAATTTTAAGTCCTTTAACTTTCCATAGCTAATGGTCCTCAATTGTACTTTTAATTTCAAATTTTCCCCTGTTTACTTATGAAGTGTTTATTGTAATGTTATTCAAATAATTAATTCAGTTTGGTATTGATTGTGGTTATGAAGATATCATGATGATTATTTCCAGTTGTATTAAATATCAACATTATTCATGTGGAGATGTGGTTGTGTAGTGGTTTAGTGCAGAGCTTTCAAGAGTGTGTGATGCGACACCTAAGTATATGTATGAATTGGTATTATTCAGTTGGTGTTATTTAGTTTGTTTTATTATTGTTACTCATAAATTATAACAATGAGATTAATCTTGGAAATATATATTTTTAACAAAAATGAAAGGGTTTTTGAGACAGGTTGTGTATAAAACATTTTTTAAAATTATAGTTTATACAGGATCATTGAGAGTGATTGCTGGCTTATTAAACTGTTGTTATAAAATAAGTAGTAAATGGGCATACACATGTAGCATCTTTAAATATTCAGAAATGTTTAGGGTTTTAGAATTACCTAAGTAAACTTTGATATAGGTGCCATTTGTAGCTCTGAGGATGTCCAGACAGTATTTAATCTCCTGCTCCATCTTCTCAATCCTGCCCAGAGTTTTATGTTCCAGCTGCTACAGAGACTCTCTCTTTTAGGTGCTTGAAGTTTCTTATATTCTCATTTCATTTTAAAGTTCAAGGTCACACAAGGTCACATGCAACTTTAAACTTTTAAAAATAATTCAAGGGGCCACACATGTATATCCATTAAATACATTTTAAATAATCTTCTTCTACTTTTTCTCTCTACTCCTGGAATGCCTCGCATCGTCAGGGCTGGAAAAGAAGTCTGGAACACACCCTTCTGTAAACTTCGTATGAAGCTGATATTTATAATAACAGTTTAAAATCCTGGCAATCAGTTGTAGTGACCCTGTTTAGTGCCTGTATCTTTTATAAGGGGTAAATTTAACCTCTGATTTGCTAGAGGTCTGAATTACTCTGCCACAACGTTATGTTTTTCTGAAAAAGTGTGTCACCATTATGAATAGTGGAAAGCTCTGGGTGATTGTCTACCAGCTGTGTTCTCAAGTACAATTGTCAGTTTTGGAAATGCCCCAACTCATGAAATAGGAACCATTTAATTTTTAGATATGAAACATATATGATATGCTACCAGAATCAATACAAAAGCAAAAAACAGAAAAAAAACACTAATCTACTTTTGCATTTTTGTTGTTGTATTGACATCCTAGAACATCGGTCCAACCCATTATATATTCTTTGCTGTAGAAAACTTTAATTGTGATATCTAGGCAAGCCAAAATGAAAGGAATATGATAAACAATATGTATTGAAAGAAGTAGAGATAGGAGAACAATGTGTGTGTGTGTGTGTGTGTGTGTGAGAGAGAGAGAGAGAGAGAGAGAAAGAGAGTCACAAACTGGACACGCAGATCTGTCTAACATTTGGCCCTTCCAAACTTCCAAACACTCATCTTTTATACATCAAGAAAGCATGTTATGTTCATATAAAAATATGCATAATATGAGTATCAAGGAAAAAACACAAAAGCATGGATGGTAAATGCACATGCCTACTCACACATTCACTCGCTCACTAACTTACAGAGAGAGGGAGGGAGGGAGAAAGTTTTCTTTTGGAATTCTCACATCAATCCTTCTTAGCCTTTTCTAACAGTATCACAGTTATTTACAGGTCTATTTCCCATATCTACTTCTTGGTATAAGTGTCAATCAATACATGTTAATTTGTTTAGCATATTTTGCATATGGCTACATGGGTTCCCCAGCTATTTTTTTCCTTAAGATTTAAATGTGTTCTTCCGCAGTGGATTTAAATGTGTCTTAATTTGTCTTCAAAACAAAAGTATTTTTTCCTGTGTATGGAAACTTATGTGTATATGACATCATCAGTTTTCGAAACAAACCACAGCTGTACATCGTAAATTGTTTGTCACAGTTCTGTTACTTACTGTCCACCATATGCATCCATACAGAAGAACATACCACACAACCTTACAGTAAAAACATTCAAGTATACACTTTTAGATCAGAATAGTTGTTGTGTGTAAATGATGGGAGAGAACTAAGCAAGTTCCAGTGGACTAAGAGATGAAAAAAAAAGATGCTGGTGTTGGATAGGACATCCGTTAAGAAAATCAGAGAACTAAATAATAGAATGTCCTTGCACTGGAACCCACAGGTGCACAGGAGTAAAAGAAGACTAAAAAACACATAAAGAAGGGAGCTAGAGAGTGAGGTTAAAAAGATGGGGGGACATGGGGAGAGTTGCATGCAATAGCAAAGGATAGATGACTTGATGTAAGTTAGTTGAGGGTCTATGCTCCAATGGGGGTTAGAAAGGCAGAAGAAGTAAATGATGTGTTATGTTTTACACAGAAAGACCACAAGGTGTTTTGGATGTGAGAGGAAAAGCAAAGTGGGATGCATGGAATTCATTAAAAGGTAAACATTTTATAATGAAATAAACACCCTGTCAGTGAAAAAGAACTTTGCTGAGAACGTCTTCATTTTTTCATCATATTCATTTCTTCATATACTAATGGTCTGCTTGGTTGATTATATTTTCTTTGTTGTGTTGTAAAATTAACCTCTCACTACTGCTACTTTTTCTTCTATCTGCTAGGCTATTTATTTATTGTCTTTTATTTACGTTTATCCACTTCCTAACTTCTTTATTAGCTTCTGTACTTTTTTTACATCTATGGCTAGTCGATGTGAACGCTTTGTAATGCCGGGATGCCAGGTTTGATCCCAGCAGCGGGCCATGCGCCTTGCGTTGGTTTCAACAGTGGTACCAAGAAAGCCGACCGTCCAGAAAGCAATGGCAAACTACTGGACGTAAATTTGCTTAGAAAAACCACACAACAGCCAGGGGCTGTTGGGGTTGCTTCTGCAAGGTACTGTAAAGGATACGCAACTAACCACTTTTCATGGATTCTGACTGTGACATCTCAAGTTCTATTGGTTTAATGTGCTTCTTTATTTTGTTCTATCTTTTCAAGGTTTCTGAACATCATTAAAGCTTTTTGAAAAAAAAAAAAGATAAAAAAAGATTTTAATAGTTAGTTTAAAGTAAAAACCTACAATTTAAAGCTGAAAGATGCAAGATATATTTATGCATGTGAAAGGTTATCATATGGATTGCTGCATCTCTTCTACTTAAGATAATTTCTGACAGGCTTTAAACCAGCAGTTGAGTTACTAAAAATAGTATAACCTAGTTAGATAGGTTGTACCTCAAGACCTCAAGATATGCTGTCTCTTGAGACTGAAGCAGGCACTCAAATATAACTTTGCTTTTACCAAGCCTATGACATCACTGATAACTTAGGTGGTGAATAGCAGTTAATAAAAATAAATGTAGATACCACAAACACCAACTATGTTTTGTAGCTTAAATAACATTTATTTATATGCTAAATAAACTAAGTTTCTAAGCAAAACAGTTTAGGTTAAACTGATATCTGGCAGGTATAAGTGATAATATTTTTTGCATACGGTTCTTATGTTTTCCGGCTCCAGTACACACTGGTTGACTTTTCATTCATGCTTGCTCACCTGTCACCCGAGCTGGTGAAGGTTACAGGGGTGTCAGGTTGTATTGTCTCCCGTGCTATCATCGGCGATGTCATGTGTTGTGTATATCATGATCTGACCACTTTTAATGACCCTATAGCACCTACAACTGGCCCTAACCACAACCCCCCTTACCCCACAGCTTTAGCCTATGGCCCACGAAAGAGTGCAGGCTAAGTCCCATGGCTTCAAAATTGTTAACATTTTTCAGTGAACCCTAAAAACCCATCTTGCAGCATAAAAGCATCCCTGTTCTCATTGTCGCTAGTCAACACTGACATGTGTTCATGTCATACTTGAACTCCGTAATATATGCAATGTCGGCGCTGCTCTCACAAATGAGTAAAACACACTGTCTAGCTCGCCACCCACACAATGCACATTTTCGCCACAACACAACTTGACACCCCTCTAACATAGATAGGCACGTGTGACAGGTTAGGAAGCATGAATAAAAACCCAATTATGCTCAGTATGGGGCAGAAAACGTAAAATGTTACTTGCAAACAATGTTGAATTGATTGTTTAGGGCCCGATTTTGGTGGGGGTGGGGTGGGGGGGGGGGGGGGGGTGGGGGGGGGAGAACCAATACTTCTTACTATTCATATCATAAAAGGCGACTGATTATGGATCTGCTGAAATTGGATATGTTGGGCTGAAAAGTGCAGATACTGCACCCTAGCTGTACACCACAAGTAAATGTGTCAGCAGCTTTTCTCAAGGTGAATGCAGAAGTAGTGACTGCCTACAGCTCCTGGCACAGACAAAATAAGTTATTTACATATTTTGAAAGAGGCTAAGATGAAAAGACATCAAAAAGAAACAGTCACCAATTTTTTGGGGACACATTATGAGAAGAGAAAAAGTAGAACATGTAGCAACAGCTGCAAACCACTAAGATGATTTATCAACTTTGGAAAAATACGACTGCAAAAACAGTAAAGTCAGATAAACCGTTTAAACAACAATGTAAAAACAAATTTTAAACAAAGTAGTACTAGTATAACCACATATATCTCGTGTGGCTTCAGGGACCATGTTTTGGGGAAAAAGAATAGACAGGCTACACCTAGTCAGCATGTCATAAAAGTTGACTAATTAGGGATATTTCCTTGGAAGTCGGAGTACATCTGCCTGACTGGCAAGGAAGCAAAAGCCTGCACACAAATAAGTCAGAACTGTGGAGTGGATGTGCATGTAAAATGCAAGTTCTGAAAACAAGACTAAAGTCCTGAAGCGGACAAACAACCAGACCTTTATGCTGGAGTTTACAACTGAGAAGAAAAAGTTAATCACATATACTATTTTTTAAAACATTGTTTTTCAAAAACAGAAACACTTTTAAATAAAAATATAACGGTATCAGAATATGTTCAGTAAAATCTTACAAACTCTAACTGAAACAGTACATCTTATTTACTTCCAGGAAAGAGCAAGGAAGATGCAATGTCAGAATACATTGTAAAAGTAGAGGAGCTCAGGAATAAATATAACTGATTTTATTCTGTGTTTCTGTGTGAACTGTTTCTTGTCCCTTTGTTAGCAATAGTTAGTTGCATACTATAATCCTGCTAAATATTTCAGTTTGTTGTAGTCATACAAGAAGAAATGACAACTGTAAAATGTCCAACGCTTGTTTAAATTTATTCTTTTTCTTTGCTAAGGACAGTTTTTTTTTTTTTTTTTAAGAAAGCCATTCTCATATTTTTCAGACAGTTAGTTGCACCATGAAAAAGATCCTATCAGATTTGACAGTTATAATAATTATATTTAAAAATTAACAGACAAGGACACCTATGATGCAGTATGCTGTTTAAAAAAACAACAACCCCATTTCATGTCTCAGTAAATAACATTGAGCAGTATACCATGCAGACCACAAGGCAACCTCAGATGTGGCGAATTTTTTGTGAAGAACAGTTTGTTTTTTTCTTTGTTTTTTGTAATGGATAAGAGAAATTTCTCATTAGAAATATTTCTTTGGTCTGTGATAAGTTCTCCTTATCAGGTCTGCACTGTATTAAGCTACTGTAAAGAAGTAATTGTGAACATAGTGACTGAGATATCGTAAAAGGAATTACATTTGTTTTCTCAGCAGGGGTTTTTCTACGCCTTCAGGCATATTGGGCATATAGGGCTAGACCTATATTTTATAGACCAATCGGTACTTGGTGGGTCATGTGGTCAGCAACATACCTTAGAATGTGTGGCAGTTAACTCTTCCAGTACTAGGTTGTTGCCCCTGGCTGTTGTGTGGTTATTCTAGGCAAATTTACATCCAGTAATTTGCCATTGCTTTCTGGACGGTCAGCTTTCTTGATACCACTGTCGAAACCACAGCAAGGCGCATGGCCCGCAGCTGGGATCGAATCCGGCATTACGAAGCGTTCGCATCGACTTAGCCACAGAGCCGACGAGTATTAAATAATAATAAAGAAAAAGTAAAGGGCCTGTTTCCCAACTTTCAGGTGTATTGGGCATATAGGGCTTCAGTACTAGAGGACAGTTAAATTATATAAAAAGCCTGATGTATTCCTTTGTACCAGAAGAGTTAAAACGTTACCCTCAACTCTTTTGGTACCAATGAATGCACCACATGTTTTATAACTAATTTAACTGTCCTCTACTACCCAAACAGTTAATGACTCATCTGGATATAACTGATGAAAACTGGCTGTTTCTTACATTAATCAGCCCCCTTTTTTTTTTTTTTTTTGGATGATATAGTAATTTATTATTTCAAAAGTACAGAAATAATTTGTTTCTGTGATGTTTTTACCTTTAAACAATTCAGATTAAAGTTAATTTTATTTTACTTAATCAGATTTGAGTTTATATTTTTCCATTGTTTATTCAGATTAAAGTTCATATTCCTATATTGTGCAAAGTGTTTGTTGCATTTATTATCATCATCAGCATCATCCCATAACACTATGTGTCGTTGGGTCACCAGTTTCTGTTGACTGTCTGATCAGCTTTCTCCAGTTTCTGTTGACTGTCTGATCAGCTCTCTCCACCTTTGTCGGTCAGTTGTGATGGACTTCATGGTTGCATGCCTAAAGCCTGTTCAGTCAGTCAGGTTCTGTAACGCCAAGTCATTTAAAATGGATCCTAAATATTTGAAATGAGTCACTTGTTCTAATTTGTGGCCTTTAATGTAGATGGGTGAAATTCTGCCTGCTGGATTATTAGTCATTACTTTTGTTTTTTCTGCATTTATTTCCATGCCATAATTGGTTGATGTTTCATCGAGTAAATTTACAAGCTCAACTAGCTTTTGTTCTTCTCCGGTCAACCCATCGATGTCATCTGCAAACCTCAAGTTTGTTATAGTTAACTTCCTTAATGGCACCCCACCCCAAGACGTGGAGTCGTACACCTATTTAGGCAGTAATGTAGATAAAGATGGAGGAACTGATAGAGATATTAAAATAAGAATACAAAAGGCAAGAGGGGCTTTCATAGCACTAGGGAATTTGTGTAGGTCAAAAGAAATTAAAAGAAATACTAAACTAAAAATTTTTAATTCTAATGTCAAATCAGTACTATTGTATGGGGCAGAAACATGGAGAACAACCAAGGAAATTACTAATAAATTACAGACATTCATTAACTGGTGCCTGCGCAGAATAGAGGGAATTAAATGGTATAATAGAATAACTAATGTAGAACTTTGGGAGAGAACTAAACAGGCTCCAGTGGACCAAGAGGTGAGGAAAAGACGCTGGCGTTGGATATGACACACACTGAAAAAACAGGAGAACAGCATAACTAGAATGTCTTTGCATTAGAACCCACAGGGGCATTGGAATAAAGGAAGGCCAAAAAACACATAGAGAAGAAAGCTGGAGAATGAGGTTAGAAAGATGAGGAGGACTTGGGGAGAGCTCCATTCAATGGCGAAGGATAGACTGACTTGGCATGAGTTGGTTGAGGGTCTATGCTCCATTGGGGGATAGAAAGGCAAAAGAAGAAGTTCAACTTCCGATACTAACTGTTCCATGATGTTTTTCTAGGGCATCAGTCATAATTCTTTCTAAAAAGATGTTAAACAGTGTTGGAGAGAGGAGGCAGCCCTGACAGACTCCTACTGTTTTTCAGAACCAGCTTTCTATTTGTCCGTTCATCTCGACAGCACTGCTGGCCTTGGCATACAGCTGTCCTATATTAAGTATGAGAGTTTTACCCATATTGTACCTTTTCTTACTGTCCCAGAGTGCTGCATGCCATACTCTATCAAAGGCTTTTTTGACGTCAATGAACACATGGAAAAGATGTTTTCGCTACATTTATGATACAGTTTGCAACAACAACAAAAGTTTGTATAAATTAGGGTGAGCAATTATTTATGTAAGAAGAGCAATTATTCTAGAAATGTTCAGCAAGTAAAACTTGTGATCCTTATTGTGCAGGTTTAACCTGAAATTGTCCATACAATGACACTGGGTTGCCCGTGGCAGTTCTGGAGTCCCACTGTGGGGAAAACAAGAATAAATCCACTGCCTATCCAAAAGCATGTTGCAAGAGTCTACTAATTGTGAGCTTTCATCAAAGTCAGAGTGCATCTGCCTGAGAGGCAAGGAAGCAACAGTATGCATACATATGAGTCAGACTGGTAAAGCAGATGTGCATGCAACACTCAGGTTCTGGAAAAGGGCTAGGGTCCAGAACTGGATGAACAACCAGAACTTTCTGCCAGAGTTTAGAGCTAGTGACCATGAAGAAAAAGAAGAAGAAGAAGAAATCGGGTTAACATTATCACAGCCATTCGTTGTAAGGTGATCTGGACTGGTGCTTCTGTTAGGTTTTCAGTGCCATCTTCATAATTATAATCGGCTGCAGTGCACCCCCAGCTGTATTGGGGACTATTACACTGTGAGGCTCCAATATCTTCCATGGTTTTACTCTTGTACCACTGATTAAAAGCCACAAAATTGTATTTTTATAAACCACCCACTGCATAAATCAGACTCAGGTATATAAAGGGTTTCAGTGTAGGGCCTTTTCTCTAAAGACTGAGCCACAGAGCTCTAAGTAAAATAAGTAAAGTAAAGTAAGTAAAGGAGCCTTTTCCAAGCCTTTTAGGCATATAGGGCAAGACCTATATTTTATAGACCAATGGCACAAGATGGGTGATGTGGTTAGCATCACTGCGGCCGCCTCTACTTCCCGGGACTGCACTCAGTACCCACTCAAGGCTGGGTCGACCTGGGAGCCAAGATCATTTTTGAAGAAAAGTCCCGCTCCGCCAGGGAGTGAACCCACAACCTTCCGATCCGCGGCGCGCGTCTAGCCGCTCCGCAACGGCGACTCCCTAAATAAGTAAAGGACCCTTTTCATTCCAGTGGCATATTGGGAATATGCTAGACACATCTCTGTATACACCAAACGACACTTGGTGGGTAATGTGGTCAACATCATACCAGCTGCCTTGATCTCCCAGGGCATTACCTGGTGCCCATATAAGGCCGGGTCTACCTGGAAGTCACTGTGAATTAAGAAAAAAAATGCACCCTGATGCAGGTTCGAACATGGCCTTCTGGCTGGCAGACAAGTGACTACCCAGAAGACAAGTGACTACCCACTACTCTACCATGGCTAGTGTGAATTGGCTGCAGCATAAATAAGTACTCCTATGTCTTGGTTAGTTTGAAAACACTTGGTATCTTGTTCCATCCCAACATTCTCTAGTTAAGTTAGTTGCATATCCTTTACAGGACGTTGCAGAACCAACCCTAACAGCCCCTGGCTGTTGTGTGGTTTTTCTAGGCAAATTTACGTCCAGTAGTTTGCCATTGCTTTTTGGACGGTTGGCTTTCTTGATACCACTGTCGAAACCAACGCAAGGCGTATACATTCTTTAGTACCAATATAAAATAGACTTCCACATAACTTTATCTGAGAAGGTGATATCTATACTGTTGAAATAAATGAGCAGCCTCATCTCATTTTGTTTCTCTTGTACTCTCTGCAGTGTTGAGGTGAAATTTAAATAGAGTGCTTGTTTGCATGTGTTTTTTTTATAAGGGTCCCTGGTGACCAATACATTAGTGAAGATTAGAACAGTCATAACGTACACATTCAGTTGCATAGACATTACCCTCACAGTAAAGAGATGTGTAGGTTCAATTACCCTCACAGTAAAGAGGTGTGTATTGTCAACTACCATCACAGTAAAAAGATGTGAAGGTTCAATTGACCTCACTGTAACAAGATGTGTAGGTTCAATTACCCACACAGTTAAGAGAAGTGTAGGGTCAATTACCCTCACAGTAAACAGATGTGTAGGTTCAATTACCCACACAGTAAAGAGAAGTGTAGGGTCAATTACCCTCACAGTAAACAGATGTGTAGGTTCAATTAACATCACAGTAAAGAGATGTGTAGGTTCAATTGTCCTCATAGAATATAAATGTGAAGGTTCAATTACCCTCACAGTAAACAGATGTGTAGGTTCAATCACCCTCACAGTAAACAGATGTGTAGGTTCAATTACC